CGGTTCTGCATGGTGGGCATGGCATGGCGTGGCGGGCATAACAGGGGAAGAATACTGCAAAATCCCCATTCCCTCCCCACCCCACTCACCTGCTTTCCAGCTCCGTTCTCCTGTGCAGGGCAACCAAAGAAGACCCAGCCGATCAGCTGGGATTCAGGAGGCAGAGAATAGATGGGGGCAGGGCCAGTCAGAGGTGGCATTTCCCGGTTCTCTGAACTACTCAAAATTTCCGCTACCAGTTCTCCAGAACTGGCTGAACTGGCTGAATACCATCTCTGACCCCATCTGTCTCCTTTTTTAACTCATTAATAGTAAAAATGTTTGTTTTATCTTCCAGCTGACTGAGATTTGCCAACGATTACTGAAATCCTACGATACTTGTATTGACGAATTCTTCTGTGAAATAGATTCCACTGTAGCTGCAAGTCACGAAGTATTTCAGCAACTAGAGGAAAAGTTGGGGCCAGAGATAAATGAAGTTGAATGGGAAAAAATCCAGCTTCAGGTTGGTTTCTGAGTAAGCAAATAACCAAGCTCTCAGAGAGCACCAAGTAAAGTGTTGTGGTCACATCATCTTATGTTGATTCTAGCTGTAGTTGTTAAGTACAATGTTGTGTGACTACAACTTGCAACTTCTTTACAGCTTCTCCGCTGGCTTTTTTTTTTTGTTGGAAAGGGCTGTGGAGATTGCAAATCATGATCATGTGTCCATGGGTGCTGCAACCAACATAAACGTGCATCAGTTGCCAAACTCCCAAATTGTGATAGAGATACACAGATAGTTATGGCCACAATTTCCAGGACTGATTGTAAGGCCACCACCATACTAATTTTGAGCAATTGCTGAATGAGCATTTTGATAAGCAAGGACTACCTGTACTTTACTGTATATATATATACATGGTATAGGCCCACTTTGCTGTTACAACGAATCTGTGGTTTGAAGACCCACAAACGGTCACTAACATAATTAGAGTTAGACTAATGCTGTTTCTGATTCAAGTCTACCACTCCTTCCATTAAATCCCATTTGTACTGTATATAATGCTGGATATTCTGCTTGCTTAAGCAGTTGTTGATTCTTGCCATATACCCCAATTTAGCATTAGCAGCATAGATGTGATTTTACCTTACTTGCTATGTTATCTTTGTTGTTCAGCATTAGTACTTTAATCGCCAAGAATTAAAGCTGTAAACTGTAATTTGTATTTGTATTTAAAATATTTTTTAGTTTTTGAACAAACGAAGCCTTTGAATGACTGCAGTCAGAATCAATCATCCCAAAGTATAAAAGACGTAATAAATTCATAGAAGCAGCTTTGGTGCTTCACACGCACTGTATTCTCTGACCTTCCCATCCTTTTTTGTTTTAGGCATTCCGACAAGATATTGCCGATTGTCCTATTTGCATTATGCCACTCATGCAGCCAGCTCAACTTCAGGATGGACTTTCCCTGGATGGCTATCAGTCACGTCCACGTCAGACAGCACTGCTCTCCTGTTCTCACGTGTTCCATAGCACCTGTCTTCAAGCATTTGAAGAGTTTTCTTTACGAGAAAGACCTATCTGTCCCTTATGCCGTTCCTGTTATCAGAAGAAAATTATCAGCTAACATTTAACAATTTAACATAAAATTATGAATAGATTTGTAAGATACCTTAGTAGAAATAATTTATCTAAATGTGTTTTAATTGCATTTCAGCGAGGGTGGGGTATACAAAAAAATTTTTTTTTCTGATGAATACACATGTGTGTAAACCTAGGAAGTACTACCTCTAGAGATATTCCAGCCAATCAGGTGAGATTCCAGTTCTCTTCTGTGTCAACTGAACGGTTGCATACATGCATAAGCAGTCCCACGGGTGCAAATGGATTGTCGGAAAGAGAGAAGAGCTCCAAATCCTTGGAAAAGCTTGGAGAAGCAACTGCAACAAAACATTTCTTCAGAAAATTCTAAGCCAAGCTGAACATCTAACATTCCCTTCTCAGTTTGTTAGGCTTCTATCAACCAAAATCCTTGGATTATGTAGCGAAACGCAACCGAAAGAATAATTGATGCATTGTATAATGCTTTGCAAAGCTTTGTAATTCTGGCTAGTTTCCTGATGGGAAATAATTTTTGGGTGACCAATATTCATCTAGGTATTTGTAGCTAAGGATATAGAATGTGTCTCTACGAGCCAGGGGTGAGATTTTTCTGTAAAGTTCTTGACTGTATCACAGTCCCCTCTGCTCACTGTACATTTTAATGCATTGTTTTAGGAAGTGGGAAGAGGTTAATTCTAATTCTCTTAATTCTATGCAACAGTCAAAGAACACAGCTGGTAATGGACAAAAAAAACCACCCTGATTTTGGAACTGAAAAATAGGATTCTCTTCCTGGACAATGTCAGGAATTGCTTTTTTTAAAAGTTCTTGTAGACCTATCTAATGGGAGAACAGTGAGATTATATTTCAAGAGATGGGGTAGGATTAATTAACTGAAGAAACCACTAACTTATTCGGGGTGGAGATGCTTTGCCTGGAGCTCAGTTGTTTTTTTGTTTTTGTTGTTTTTTTTTGACAATACTTGCAAGATTCTATAATCCTGATACTTGTTCGGGCTAAGGCAAGAATTGCATTAGTACAGCTGAAGAACTCTCCTCACAAAATGTCTCAAAATATCCCCCGCTCTCACATGGGTTTTGTTCAGTCCATTTATGCCTGAGATAGGCAATATGCTTTCTTTGATCAGGGGCTTGAGGATAATCTGTTAGAAGCTGCGTGCCACTGGGTGAATGAAGCTGAGGCTGAGTGGGATTGCCTGTTTCCCCACCCCACCCGAACCCTTTTCTCTCTTTGGTATCTGCTTCTCCGCACACTCTTGCATCTCCTCCCCACCCCACATTCTTCTCTGTCAGCAAAAGGAGATAGATTACTGTTTCCTGAGGCCCAGGTTTGATTGTAGGAAAATGTATTTATTAAACTTGGGAAATTAGGAAAGAGAGGCGTATGATCTTGTGATTGTACATTATTACTTACCTCTAATTTAAACAGAGTTTTAGAAATAGTAAAGGGACATTGTTAATGTATCCAGAAACCTCACTTATGCAAAAAAAAAAAAAAAAAACATCGATATTTTACAAAACCAGTAACCCAAGTTTCTTTGAAGAACATTAGCCAATGCTGTAGATCAAAGAAAAATACTGCTTTAATATAAATAGAATATCTGTGAATTGGGACACTTTATTAAGTATGCAAACATAATGCACTCTAAGCTTTATGCTCCCCATATGCAATTATAAAGCTTGCTTTCAATAAAACTCCTTAGAATCAAATCACAGAGAAAAGTCTTGTCAAATATTTTAATCAACACTAAACAGGCAAAGGTATAGAAGTGTGAATAAAAAAGGGTCAGGGTCACCACATTACATCCAGTTAAACCAAATATCCTAGTTTAATCTGTACTTCTGAATTAACCCATGTTCACTTAAACTTAGCTTTAAAAGGTGAAGAAGCAAAGATGTGCTCAAGTCATATCCACAGATCTGTCATAATGTGGTCCACACTGTACTATAAATCTATCATGCAGAAGGCCAAACAAAAGCTTACTTGAAACACTTGGCTTTGCACATTTTCGTCTGCTTTGATAGATACCTAGTGCATTTAAGGAAAGCATATTTGTGCTTAAGCCTCATAGTAAATGAGGCAAAGGTTGATACCCGAAGATAAGTTTTTTATATATATCTCAAGAAGTACAGGTTACTTAACTGTCAAACACTAGGAATGCATTATCTATATTCAATGAATTGTGAAGCAAAATAACATCTTTTCTGACTTTATAAAATATTTGAGTATTTTTTAAAACAGTTGCAAGTAAAAATGTCATTTCCAAAGTAATCTACAATAGGTCATTTCACACAGACAAAGCCAAGAAACAGAGGAGCTCATAGATTAGTACCTTTCTGATGCCACTTATCTAACATCCATTTTCAAAATAACGTTGCCATAAATCTGTGTGGGGATAAAAGATGAATAGCATTTTGAAAATGAGATTCTATGCAATATTTCTATACTAGAAAACAGGTGTGATGCTGACACTAGGACCACATTAAGATATGAAGTGCTTCTAAGACAAAGGCAGAATATTCAAATGCATGGGCTGAAAAATTGAACTGATCACAAAACATCCAAGCAGATTACATTCTCAATAGTAAAAGCTTTTTTAAAGGGGAATCTCTTTCAATTTAATTATCAATAATATAAACTAATCCAGTATTTCCTTTTCAGCATATGTCCTTATATTTGAATAGGGATTTGTACTCAAATGAGTTGCAATGGATTAAGCCTTTAATCAGTGTCCATATAGGAGATGCTTCTTCCACTGAGAATTACAATTGTTCTTTATGTGTTGTTAAAAATTAGTCTACGAACTTGCTCAAAATTGAAAGTTCATAGTTTCAGCTGTGTTCCCCATCTAGAGATAAATTCACAAGGAAACAAGATCCTAAATCACACTCATGACTAAATTCAGTATATTTTTCATGAATACTGCCCTAAAGCCAAGATTTCTAAGAATTCAGCTTACTTAGATACTTACTTACTTAGATTCAGCTTACTTATCATAGTAACTCATCATATTTAACATATTTGAATTACATTATCATGAAAAAGGAATCAAACTGATCTAAAGTGATTGTTATCATTTCAACTTGTGATAGTTCAATATTTGAAATAATTTCAATGAGCTAATTTTGCTATAGCATTCACTGTAGTGAATAACCTACCACTGCAATTCATTCCAAATTCTGAGAATCTTCTTTTTGAGTATTTTATTCCTATTATATATTTGCTACAATTCTTACCTTCCAAATAATGCAAAATTCATTAATAGAAGAAACAGTATAAAAGTTAAGAAACAAGTTTTTTTACGTCCAAGAACTCCATACTGGTAAATCAACAGAATTAATAGAAAACATGTTTATGAATCCAATGAAATTAGCAACATCGTAATCCATCGTAAATAGCCGGACATTGTGCAATGTATTAAGATTATTTTGAGGCTTTGGGTTTACAGATATTTACAGAAATTAACAGTAACAGATTAACAGCAATAGATTTTCCACAAAGAGAAATACTTGAACTTACAAAATCCCAATAACCTATCCTTGATCAAATGATTATACAGAGAATAGGATCAACTCCATTGAACTAAATCATCAGAGTGGTCTTTACTATCTATCTGCCTGCCTCCACTCACAGTACATTAGTAAACAAATGCAGTTTAACTTCCTTCTGCCTTTTTATAACTTCACAGGATTTTGTAAACCTCAAAATGGTAGCAATATCCAAGTGCATGCTGTGTCAACCATATCATATCTAAAACCCTGAACAAGAATCTTAAGTTTTCATATTATAAACTAAGCAAAATGCTAGCTCAATTCTGTGTTCATAAAAAAGTAGGCATATGTACACACATGAACAACTAGAAGAACTAATGAAGAAAATACCTTGTTCAGTGAAAAAAATACACTTATCAGTCATAGGAATGGGTATCATTTAAAGACAACTTTGTGAAGATTGGGTGCAATCTCAGAGTTTATACATATGTATATTTTACACACATTTTTGTTCGTATTGTTTAGCTGAGTATGACAATCACGTTTTTAGGCATGATTATACATACAATGATCAGAAATCTACAATTACTGTTTCCCCGGCTCAGATTTAGCACTTTAGTTATGAGATTATGTTATTGCATAATCACGGTTTGCAAAGGAAATTTTCCCTAGCAAAAAAAATGGGGCAGTTTACCATTTAGAACTAAGAACTATCATAGTGCAAACTGATTTGATGGGTAGATTAATGTATTGATCCTGAGCCTTATTGTGCGCTCACAAGTTTTCAAAACGCATCTTACTGGAACAATCAACATCTTGAGTAGAGGTTTGCCATTTTCAGATAGCAAGCTCATCTCCCAAATTAATCTTCAACAATATATTTACATGCAGAAGATTCTTCTCCTTGGATTCAGAAATCAGTATGAAGATCTGTTCAAAGAGGAATGTTCAAGAGACATCTCCAGTTGACAGAAAAATTAAAGTAGATCAATCCAAGCAAGAGTACAGTCCAATGCAACCAGATTTCTTCTGCATCGACCTGGATCCAAGGTATAAACAAGTAAGAGCAGTACAAAGCAAGTACAATGAAGTGAGAGGAATGTCAGGAAGCTGAAATACTCCTTTCTACCGACTGTGATTCACAGTGTTTTCTGATGCCCATTTACAGAAGGCTTTGTTGTCTCGGGGTCTCTTGCATTGTGCGAGAGATGCAGTTTATCTAAACCTACAAAATAAAGAGTAAAGTTTATGTTTCATTCCTAACTGGCACTGCATGTTATAAAACCAAAGCAATAGCTTGAACATAGTACAATCCTTATCAAGAGCAAAATCTCTGCGCACGGCACAGGCATGATTAACGTAGTTAATTATCCCTTATTAAAAAGTATTAGGTGAAAGCCTCAATTGACTATAAATGCACGATGGTCAAGAGAAATCAACATCAATAAGTCCATCCATTGACTATGGTGGAGTAAAGAAGACAGTGTGTGTGTGTGTGTGTGTGTGTGTGTGTGTGTTTCTCAAATCCTCTGATGAGATAATAAATACATGCAGGCAAGGAAGTATAAGATGAATTATCAGAATTAAGTTGAATTTAAAATATGTGCACGAAAGGAAGTATAAGATGTATAGGATTTCCTGTTTGAAGAAATGGGATGGACTAGAAGATTTCCAAGTCCCTTCCAACTCTGTTTCTCTATTAATTATAAACGAGAAGCTAAAATGTGTCTCAAAGTATGAAATGGTATTTTCTGGATTGCTGTAAAGAGTGCATGAAATCCATAGGTTGGTGATAGGATGAGGATGAGTAGTATTGGTAGAAGAACTGGAAATATGTTTTGGAATAAACTACAACTGCCTAAATAAACTGGAAACTGCCTTTTTCCTCTGGGATTGAAAAGGGGTTGTTTTATTAGGTGGACAGAATGGATGGTTGGGAATGAGGTGAAAGAATGGCACTGAAGAGTATCTGCTTAGGAAAGAATCTGCTTATTTCAAGTAAGTAAGACCAGGTCTACAGTATTTGCACACACGCATATATAGGTGGCAAAGGAATTAATATAAATCTAAAAACATTGATTTATTATAACAAAAAAAATGAGAATGGTGTAATGAACAGCTATGAATGTGAAACAAGCTATAATCCCATCTCCAAGTTATATACAGGTAGTCCTTGACTTACAACAGTTCACTTAGCAACTGTTCGAAGTTACAACACTGAAAAAAATTATTTACAGCCATTTTTCACTTATGACTGTTGCAGCATCCGCAGGATCGTATGATTTACATTCAAATGCTTGACAACTTACTCACATTTATGACGGTTGCAGTGTCCTGGGGTCACGTGATCCTCTGTTGCAACCTTCTAATAGGCAAAGTCAATGGGGAAGCCAGATTCACTTAACAACTGTGTGACTAATTTAACAACTGCAGTGATTCAATTAACAAATGTGGCAAGGAAAATCGTAAAAAGAGACAAAACTCACTTAAAAATTTCTCACTTAGCAACATAAATTTTGGGCTCAATTGTGATTGTAGGTTGAGGACTACTTGTATACATGAATTTAAAAAACTACAGTAAATACTGTAGATGACTTAATGTACCTTTGTAGAAAAACTATTAAAGATGGAGAAATGGTTAAAGAAAATTTAGACATAAAAGAAAAATAAAAGGACATGCAGCTAAAACTAGTTTACATGGGTGAGATTCACTGTAGAAATTGTTGACTTGATGACCACAATGGAGCCCAATATTTCCGTTGCTGAGATAATTGTCAAGTGTTTTGCCCCATTTTATGACCTTTTTGGCCACCATTGTTAAGTAAATCACTGCAGTTGGTACATTTGTAACACAGTTATTAAGTGAATCTGGCTTCATCATTGACTTTGCCTGCCAGGTCACAGAAGGTGACCACTTGACCAAAGGACACTGCAACTGTCATAAATACGAGCCAATTGCCAAGCATCTGAATTTTAATCCCATGACCATAGGAATGATGCAATCGTGGAAGTGTGGAAAACAGAGATAAGTCCCTTTTTTCGGTTGTAAATAAGTCATTAAATAAATAGTTGTAAATCGAGGATTACCTGTACTTCTCTACATTTTTCTGTTTTCTCCTCCTTTGTTTTCATTGCATTTATATATGTGTGTGTGTGTGTGTATATGTAGACAGAGATAGAGATAGATATATGGATATAATAGATATAGATCTATCTATCTACACAGAGAGAGTCGAGAAAAGTCAAGAGAGGGAGAGAGATACTGACCCTGTTATTCCTCCTTCTATTCCTCTTCATTTTTATATCTTTATAATACTGTAGTATAAAATAACTTCCAATGACAAATTCTCACCTCTCCTTTTTTTTCAGAATCTCACCAAAAAACCTCCAGCTGTGATTTTTCTTTCCCTTCCTTTTGACCCATTCTTTTATGTTTGTTTTCCAATTTAATCATTGCTTGTTTTGTCATTATGTCACCAATCCCCCACCCCAGGATATCTGTGTTATAGGTAGTCCTTAACTTACAAACAAAATTGATCCGAAGTTTCCATTGCTAAGCAAGATAGATACATTTGGGGATTTTTACATTAAGTATTATTGATTTCCCTCACTGACGTTGCTGATTGAAAGCCAGCTGGAAAAGTTACAAATGGGGATCACATGACCCTGGGATAGTGCAACTGTCATGCGTACATGCCAGTTGCCAAGTGCCTGAATTTTGTGGATGCTGCAATGGTCGTAAGTGTGAAAATTGCTCACAAGTCATTTTTTTTTCAGTGCTGTTGTAAATTAGAATGGTCTCTAAACAAATGGTTGTAAGTTGAAGACTACCTGTACTTGCTTTTCTGTTCAATCTGCTAACATTCACTTCCCACCTCATTCTTCATCTATTCGCTTCTTTTTCCACCCCATACCTCATTCACATTGAATTCTGATTGAAGTTTCTTTCACATGCAATTCTCACTTCCATATACATTTATTAATTGTATATGGAATACATTATACATTATTTGCCCTTTTTAAATTCTATTTTTAAATTTTTAAATTTCTAGATACTGTTTTTATATTTTAACACTTTATTGTACACCAACCAGACTCCCTGTCTGAGGGGAGATGGATGGTTCAAAAATGTGGAAAAATATATAATCAGACGAATAAGTAATAAAAGACATGCATGCAGCATGCTGTTATATGCCAACATTTTCTTAGCTTTTATTTCTCTGACTTTTTATTTCATGGTCCTGTTTTGTGTAATATTGTCAATATTACCAAGAAACATAATAGCAGGCATGTTTGTATGTTATAGCATGTTCTGTATTAGCTATTTTTAAAAATATTTGAATGCAGCCTCTAGAGCAGGAGTGTCAAACACAAGGTCCTGGCCTGCAATATGGTCGGATCCGGTCCGCGGGACATCCTGGAAAATGTAAATGGACAGCCTGCATTGCTTCAGCCCGGTCTACCCAATGTGAAGAGGAAACATGCCAGCAGCTTGGGGAGTGGTGTCAAGCTGACCACGCCCACCCAGTTGGCCACACCCACCCAGTCAGCTACCTTCTGCCCCCCCCCCCCCCCGAGGTCAACTACAGCGCTGATGTGGCCCTGAGTGAAATTGAGTTTGACACCCCTGCTCTAGAGAGTGTGTTACGGAGACCTTGCACCGCAACAGCTAAATTGGCTATTGGTCAATTTCAAGACCAAGTTATCTAAAAAATCATTTTGAACCAACTGAAGTTTCAAGACCTCAGGAAAGGCCATATTTTGTATTATGCCAAACTTCTTAAGCGGCTGTGGCAGGAATCCTTTTGGAGTTGGGTTTTGTCCCAAATATGATTTATTCTACCAGCAAAACACTCATATTCAAGGAGGTATCACTAGTTGATTTCCTTTGAATAGGAGTTTGGTTACAAATTTCACCATACTTGGACTAAATTAATTTCTCACAAAAAGTGTATGATCTAAGATCTCATAAGGCATCAATGTGGCTAACCAGTATGCAGAGACACAGCAAGAAATAGCTAGGACGTGATAATGATCCAGGCCTAAAAGTTGAGAAGACAGCATTGGGATGGCCTGTAACATCTCCCTTTTTAGCTTGTTATTTGGGTATGACCCAGTTTCAAGACCATGAACTTTGTTCTGAATGGTCAAGGGAAGACAATGGTTTTGCTGAAGCACCTGATATCACTTGGAGTCAGGCAGCCTGTATTTAGATGATGATTGATTGATATGGGGGGAGGGTGACATTCCACTCGCTGGCAGAATCCTCTGAGTTGACAATTGGTCTAAAACGTGACACTGGAAACCCTAAAGCTGAGTGCTGACATTGGTAATCACAAAATATCAGTCAGATGGAGGACACTCTTATCTGCTTCAACTGATAATGACCGATTGGAGGGGTCTAGGAAGGGAGCCTTCCGTGCAGTTGCTCCTGCATTGTAGAACGGCCTCTCTCCAAGATAAAGCGAAGAAATACCCCAACTTGCTCACCAGAAGACTCTGGATTCTTAAACTGTAAATGGGACTGAGGATACATTTATAATCTTCAGTTTATTCTTCAATCTCAATATCAGAGTCAATGGTGGAACAAACTGACATCGAATTTCATTAGAACTGTGGGGCTAAAAGCTTAATTAACCAAGACTTTCAATATTTTAAGGCTATGAATAGTACATACTACAATCGATTTACTACCTTTACTAGTTTTATTGATGTGGTTTATCTGCCTTGCTTGTATTTTTATTATTTAGTATTTTATTACTATCTGCTTTGAGCAGTTTCTACCTGATGGAAAGAAGGATATAAAGGTTAATAGAAACATCATTTGTTTTTGAAAAGTAAAGAGAAAGAAATTGTGTGTGTATACCAGTGCACGTTCAAGGGTATGCATGCACACACACTCGAGCAATATATGCTATGAATTTCCCTATCAAGTAGGCAGTAAACAGTTATGAAATGAAGCTTTATACAGGGAACAGAAAATCACATAATAATTGATCATTCTCCCTAGCATAACCATATCACTAACCTCTAGCACAATTTCAAGTGTATAAATGTAAAAAAAAAGTACTATCATAAAAGGAAGAGAAAGCGGGTTACCTAATGCTTTGAGCAGTTCTTCTCTAACTGCAGAGGTGAACTTTCTCACCAGGCACAGGGTTGTCATGATAGCAAAAAGAAGATTGTAGGACAATACTATGTAGAAGTTTCCTAACCAGTTAAACCTTCCAAAGTCCCCAAGGAGATCAAACCTGGTGATGCCTAATAAAAGGTGAGGGGAGAATATAGTCATAAAGTTTGTACAGATACTTGGGAATTTTAAAACAATCTAATACATTGCATATAACTCTTCACATAAAATTTGATAAAGCAAATTTAAACTTCAGATATTTATACTTTCTCATTTTCCTTTTCAACACTATTTAGCACTTCAAAGATATTGTCTACTAAATTAGGGGGGAGAACCAATATCCAAAAGCTGTTTTAACTTAGAGACAAGTTTTAGGAAAGTTGCATAGTTCTGTGGCATTCTGCATACAAGACCTTCCAAGCATTTTAAGTCTCTACATAAGCCACCAAGTGAAATGGATTTACAATACAGATTCAACTTCACCAGCCTTTCCCACTTGATCAAGAATAGAAGAGCTGAATCTTTATCTAGGTTTATAAATGAATTGGCAGTGAGAAGAAAGG